CAAATTTAAATTGTAATAGTTCATTTATGTTTTTAACTTTTTATATAATGGATTTTTGTATTAGACGTAATGAATTATTTTTTGGTTTTATATTATGTTCGACCAAAAAAAAATTTGGCAACACCTAATATCAATTCGTGCATTCGCCCCTGTTCGGGTTGAAACGAGGCCTTGTAAGGCTATTGTTGTTTACCGAAGTATAATAATTGTTGGGGCTGCTGTAGGGCTGTCGGAAAACAGCTTGACGTTTCTAGAGCGAACCAAAGACATCAACAGGAGACTGCTATGTAGCAGTGGTAACAACGGCTACATGGGTTGTTACTCTATCAGACTTGACTGAAGACAACATGTGGCGCGATCGAAGATTTAGAACCCATCTAGCTTGTCCCATAAGTCATTCATAGTATAACTAGTATAACTATAAGTAGATATTATGTGTATAAGATTAGCATCGCAAGTAGAATAAAACCAAGACTTTATCCGAGAATTAATAGATGCCCAATCCTCATCTTCATCATTTTGTGGTTGGGATTTACTGATAATATGACCATGAACCTTATCTGTAATGCCCGTGTTTGTAGGCTAGGCATTAATATTGACATGATAGTCTAGGTTAACCTTTGTGACTCATTTTGGAGAAATGAAAAGGAATTATGTGAATATTATGTGTTTTATGCTTAATTATTAGGGTTTAATTAATTAAGACTAAAAAATGAGCGTCGAAAATAAATATTAGATAAAGACGATATTTATTAAGAAAGTTGTAGTGGTCGTGACAAGGATTACGGATATATAAAGAATGCCGAAATCCGAGTTATAACGAAGAAGTTATGACTTGTCCAAGTTTCGCGACAAACCGACACGGTGCCGAATGTCGTAAAAAGTGGGTTTTTGATAAACTACTTTTTAGCCTTAGTGATCTAAATGAAAGTCGTAGTATTCGTTAAACCGAGAAGTTCGATAAAAAGAACGCCAAAATCTGACTTCGTATGAGGAAGTTATGATTTTTCTAAGTTTCAGCTTAGCAGTAGACAACTAAAAACTCGAATTTTAGATCGAGTGATTTTAAGGCCAACACAACCTAAACGAGAATCGAATGTCAATAATAGTAGTACAACGGTAAAAAGTCTGACGAAAACGGACGTCGGATGAAGAAGTTATGAATTTTTAACGGATTTTCCAGTCCCGGTCTGTTAAAAATAATAATATAAAAATAAAGTCAAAATTTTCCTACGAAGTCTAAACGAAAGTTGTAGAGCATAATTTTCTCTACGCGTGCATATAAAGAACGTCAAAAACGGAGCCCGTATGAGAAAGTTATGGATTTTACAAGATTGAGCACATTTTTCGAGAAATTTCGCATGAATAGTGCTGCCACGTCACCCTCGCTCTGAGTTGGCCACGTGTCCGAAGCTGCTGCGTGGCACGTCCGAGAAGCGACGCGTGTCGCACAGGTGTCCGAAGTCGTCACGTGATCTCGCATGCTTTCCTCGTGATCCGACCTGCGTGTTGGCTCCTGATTCGACCAAGGCTGCTGACCCGATCCGAAGCAAGAAGCCGCGTCATCCGACCAATCCGAAGCTCGCAGCTGTCCGTCCGAGCCTCGCCCTGCTGCCACCTGGTCCAAGCCTCGCAGACACGTGCCCCTCCCTCCTCGCTTCGGATCCAACCCTCGCTGCTATAAATAGGAGGGTGCGAACCCTCCCGGCTAGAATTTAAGATTTGACATTTTTCACCCTTTTTTCAATATTTTCACCATTTTGACGTCCCCCGAAGCCCCGGTATTGATTATAACCCCCGGAATACGCCCCGAAGTGCCCGAAGACCCGGAAAATTTATCTTTTCGGTTTTGAAGCCCGACCCTTCGCAGAGCCCGGTTTCTCAATAAAACTCCCGGTTTTATTCGAAACGATCGTTTTAGGAAACGAATTGCTGCCCGATTTTCATTAAATCAGGTGAGTGTGTAGTCACTTTCATCTTACACATAGATATGAAATATTTTATATAAAATACGTGCTATGTGTATATATGTTGTTTGTTTATTCGAGATGGGTGTTGAATGAATGTTTTATACATGTTTAAAATGATTTAAAATGTATATATATTTTATCTTCAAATATGTTGGGTAAAACATGGGTAGATAAAGTATGAGGGATAAAAGTACAGTATAGATGTACGTTGGTAGCTATGAATTTAGTATAGTATAGATGTACGTTGGTAGCTATGTATTTAGTACGTTGACACCTATGGACTTAGTGCTTGTGGTATAAACCTTGGCGACGATGTGACTTCGTGCCTATTAGATAAACCCTGGCGACGATGTGACTTCGTGCCTATTTGACATAAATTACTGAGGGAAAGCAATGTTGTCACCCCGGTGTTTGTTTTATTTGATATAAATTGCTGAGGGAAAGCAATGTTGTCATCCCGGTGTTTGTTTTATTTGACATAAATTGCTGAGGGAAAGCAATGTTGTCACCCCTGTGTTCGTTTTATTTGACATAAATTGCAGAGGAAAGCAATGTTGTCACCCTATTGGTTGTCTTATTTGACATAAATTGCTGAGGAAAGCAATGTTGTCACCTTATTGGTTGTTTTATGTTAGGTTGTCCTGTTTGACATAAATTGCTGAGGAAAGCAGTGTTGTCACCCCATTGGTTGCCTTATTTGACATAAATTGCTGAGGAACCCCCGAAGCAATGTTGTCACCCCTAATGAAAATCCTTAGGCTAGATCCCATGTGATAGGTGTTTTAGGGACGTAAGGTGAGGATAACGGGAATGGGTAATTAGGGTTGTTTTTGGTTGATGAAATTAATAAATTATTTGTTGATTGATAAACTTAAAGAGTTTATTATTTATTATGGGTTGAAAACCCTATATGCTCACCAGGCTTCCAAGCCTGACCCACTTAGCTTTTTATATTACAGGTAGTGGACCCCGAGCATAGTCGGATGATGATGATGAGTGATTTTTGGATTATAGGCCAGTGGTTATAAATAACTGTTGTAAGGCTTATATTTCTTAAAGAAAGGTTTTGACAAACTTTTATCATGTTTTGTTTTGGGAACAAATTCCGCAACATCTTTAAAAAGGATTACTCTGATTTTATTTTAAAAAAACATAAACGAAACCGGTCTTTTCTGGCCGTGAAATTGGGGATGTCACATTATCACCCTTGCATATATCAAGAAATATACAACGCCAAAGTTTGTATTTGGAGCCGTCAACAGACTATTCAAAACTAAACTGTGAGTAAACATTAGTGAGGAAAAATACTAGTTGACTAGCAATAGGAGTCAATACCATGGAGGTTCTCGATGATAACAGAGATGTCATGTTGCTCGGAGAAAAAAAAAGTGCAATAGAGACAGGAAATAATAAGAAATAAGCTAACCGTGGGGAGAGGGAAATAAATGATATGATAGTCTAACCACAATGACGAATGAATATGAGCATTAAGATGATGGTGTCGGATCGAAGATGTTGATGATGAGATAGTCTTGGCGGCTGCACACAGAGGTGGTGGCTGGAAGACGGCGACAACGACAGTTGCTTTGGGAGAAGGCAACATTGTGTGTTGGATATGGAAGCGGGATTTTTTATATTTATTTATGGTTTAGGGATCTAGTGTAGGTTGTGAATGGTATGGCTTGATACCATGATCGATAGTAGGGGTGTTCGTTTGGATGGATCGGTTTGATCCGATCCAATCAAGTGAATCCAAATTGATTTTGGTTTTCAAAACATGAATCCGAATAGTCCAAACTAAATTCAAATCCGATCCGATCTGATCCAATTACAATTCAGTTGGATCGGTTTTTATAATTCTGTTTTCAAAAACCGAAACATTTTAAAACGACATATAAATATAATATTACCCAACTTTACACAAGAAGCAAAAACAAATTATTTAGTTGTGATTTGAAATTTATAAACAACTAATACGAAGATATATTATAGTTAAATATCTTGTACATAGAAAACTTTTGAGAGAAAATGCATATTAATGTTTTTTTTAACGGGTGAAACGTTTTGAACCTATTAAAAAAAATAAATTACAAAATTAATAAATAACTATAGATATATATTATAAATAGATAAATAATAAATGTTTATTCGGTTTTTTTGGACTATTCGGTTCTTATTTTATAAACTAAAACCAATCCGAAATCCAAAACAATAATTCGGTTTTGTTGAAAACCAATCCAAAAATCCGAATACCTGAACCAAATAGTCCAATCCAAATTATCCAATTGGATAATTCGGTTTTATCCGAATAGTGAACAGTTCTAATCGATAGTGTGAAAATCCTCAATTAGGGTTGCATGTATAGATGTCAATATATAGATACATAGTTTTCTTTGTAATTCATAATTGTAAGCAATCTACAAATGCACTAAAACAACTTCCATCACGTACTTAACGATACATTTTTTTAACGGAAAATCTAATCTACTACTCCTAATTTCACCTATGAACCAGACGAGACTTGAACCCTCGACCTCAATGAGGGAGGACAACAAGGGTCTCATGGAAAAGGGATTTCTACAAAATTCAAGAGTGACGTGCATAGTAATTTATACTTGGTCTAAGAGATCGTGGACAAATATTTTACAAACTATTACATGACTCAAACTCGAGCAAACTACTAACGTTCACAACAAGAGTTCATAAGGAAGAACCTGACAAACTCACTTAAACTACATATGAACAACTTTTCTGAAGACAGAAAAGAAACTGGAATTAAAAAAAAGTATAGACTCAGACCACGCACAATGAAGACAACAATTGAAATGTTAATAACATTTTTCTGAGAAATCATGTGATTTCAAACAACTGAGACTATAAGAAGCACCAGCCAGGTGGCCCAACGGTGATCACTTGAGATAAAACACTTCAAAAGGAGGAGTTCCCCCATATTCGGCTTCAACTTTGGGGTGACCTACTATTATAAAAAAAAAAAAAAAAAAAAAGAGAAAAAAGAAGCACCCTACAAACTTAGCGTGGTTCGTTTTCTTGAAAAGCCATTTCTGTAATACCCGAGTAAGATTCCCATTCGTTAGTACTATATGGAATTAACGGGACATCATAAAGATCAGATTGCTCCACTTCTAGGATTAAGCTTCTAGATTCTTCTGGTGTTTGTTGTTTAACCCATGGATGAGTAGTAAACTTCCTCAGGCACTCTAGCTCCATTGCCACCTCTCTCATAGTAGGTCTATTTTCTCCTAGTAAGTCAAGGCATCTCTTTATGAGCTCAGCTACTGCTTGTAACTGGTCAAGAGTCCCTTCACTTAATACTCGTGGCTCAATAATCTGAAAGAAACGGTTTTCTTTCATGGACTTGATAAAGTAGGTTGCTAAATTCTTCTCCTCATTGATTCTACTTACACAAAGGGGTTTTTTCCCAGTAATTAGTTCTGCAAGGACCATACCAAAGCTATAAACGTCACTCTTGTCAGTTAATTGGCTTGTGTGGAAGTACTCAGGATCCAAGTACCCAAGTGTGCCCTGAACAAGAGTAGTGACTTGATCATGATCTAAAGGGACCAACCTTGAAGCACCAAAATCTGATATTTTTGTCGTGTAGTTATCATCTAATAATATATTGGCAGACTTGACATCTCTATGTATGATAGGCATAGTAGCTTGTGAATGAAGGTATGCAAGTGCAGATGCAGCTTCAGAAGCAACTCTCAATCGATTCTCCCATGATAACCAACTCATTCCACCCGCTTTATGATGAATGTGATAGAAAAGCGTGTTATTGGATATGAACTCATAAACTAGTACTGGTACCTCCTCTTCCAAACAACAGCCTAACAACTTAACAACATTTCGATGGATGACTTGTGTAAGGATCATGACCTCATTAATGAATTGCTCAGATTGACTCCCATCCACTATTTTAGACTTCTTTATTGCAACAACACGATTATCTGGTAAGAATCCTTTATATACTACACCATAACCACCTCGCCCAACAATTCGCTCCTCTGAATAGTTGTCAGTTGCTTTTCGGAGCTGTTCAGTGGTGAACATAGTCACGGCTTCACTAGTCCCTGTCGCCTTGAGCTTTTGTTTCATAAACACGCCCCGTTTTGCTCAAAAAATTTTTCTCGTAGCTTTATGAGTTTCCTTTTCCTTATGCCAAGGAAAATCCCAGTTATCCCAGATAATATAGCTAGCAAGCCAAACACCAGAGCTACATTTGAAAATAAAGGAAAACTCTTCAACTAATAGTTATGTTAAATGGTTAATAGAAGAAAAGTGAATTTAAATGAGAATAAGAGAACAAGCTTCAGAAGGAACTGTAAAATAAATCTTCACATTAGAAGTAGTCTTAAGACATTAGATTGCAAAAAACGGATTATATATATACAAAGACACTTATATATACTGGCTGTACGTAGTTATTATATGTGACATACCTACAGAGAATATGACAGCTGGAAACTTTGAATTTTTGGCATCAGGTCGACAATCATCTTTTATTTTTCCATCACCAGTGTATCCTTTCAAACAAGTACAGTTGTAGCTCCCTGGAGTATTGATACAAATGCCATAACAGCTGATGTTGCTTTTATCCTCACACTCATTGATGTCTAGCAAGAGATATATATTCACATATTAAAAAAAAAGCGATACAAAAAATGACACTTGCTTCTGTATTTGAAGATTATTGTGCTCTAAAACTGAAACTGACCTTCGCAGCCTGGATCAAGATAAGGATTTCCCTGGTAGCCATTGTTACAGATGCAGCGATACCCACCAGTGTCTTCATCTTCGCAGAAGCTATTTCCCTTACATTCTGTAGCCTGTGTGCAATTCCTGTTGTCTCCAATTACCCAATCAACAACTATGGGAAGACTGTTATCTATCTTAACATCAAGATCCATATTAGACAAATCAGGTACACCACCAAACGTAAAGCTCTCTTCCTCACCAAGAAACGCAAAACCACATGGATTGAATGAAAACACTCTTGCATGATTATAGAATGAGCCAAGTGAAACATTGTAAAATTTGAGACCTTTTGGTATTGATGTCTGACAACACCCATTTCCTGAACAGTACCCAACAGGTACATCACCTGCTTTGCTACATAACCCTAAACACCCACTAGTGAAATCGAGTCCATTCCTCCCTGTGATTAAAGCAGAATCATCGCACCCAATGACAGTGAACTTGTTCTTCTGTGAAAAAGTGAAAGGGGTGGTCTCCAAGTTAGTCCATGCAATAAGTTCATAAGTTGCTCTTCCAGATTCGTTGTAGCATCTGAAAGCAATCGAATTGGAAATTTTCATCTCGTGTCCTGACATATTGTATATTTCAATGTTGCCTGATCCGATGAAAAGCTTTGGGGGGTTAGAAGTCAAGTTGCAGGTCAGGTCAAATGATTCGTCTATGGAGCAGCCTTTGTCTATGCCGAAAGGGTATTCAATTGTCAAGTTCCCGCACTGTGTTCGGCATCCTGGATTTGCTATCTTTGCCATGGCTGTAGGGGTGAAACGTAAAGCAAAAAGAACAAGTGTGATAAGAAGAAGCATGTTCCTATTTTCTTGTGTATGTATGATCAGATACCTTTTTTTGTTTGTGTTTGAAACGATTTATCGGAGTATCTAGCAAAGAAGTATTTAAGGTTTTATAAAATTCCCTTTGACATTGCACATATAAAATTCCCATTGACATTGAACAGTAACAAGGTACCCACGTTTTACAATGATATAAATATCAAGTAGGCCACTCATTATTAAATTCTGATAAAGAAAACTGAAATAATCTATAGACACGATAAGAAATTAGCGACGAAGATGCAGCCAACGATATCGATCCTTCTCAGAGTCCACAATGGCTGCTAGCAAAGGTATTAATGGCTACATGGCTTAGATGATATGGATAGGTGAAATGTGAAATATACAAACAATCATCAAAAGAAGAAACATGATTTTGCTACTACACGAATGTATTCAATTTATGAATGATTCTTGCAACTAGGAGGAACAAAGACTAGTAAATAGTCCAGTTTTTTGAACAAAAAAAGGGTTTTTTTGGACCGGGCGATCCGGTCCAACTTTTTTCAATTTCTCCTGTCTTTGTAGGACGGCAGTCTAGTTTCAGGTGACTTCCAATTCAGTTCAATTTTTTTTTTTCTTTCAACATACAAGTTTTTCTGTTCAAGGTTCAAAATGTTAATCATTCTATAGAAAAAATATGATCATTTAGTAATTCGTAAAATAATAAATTTTAAAAAACCCCACAATAAGTTTTTATATAACTAACAGTTACCAATTACAACATAATTTGAACGTATGATCATATACTTAATCCTCCAATCTTCAGAACATGTAAAATGTTATTCAACATCTGATTGTAAATGTGTTTTAATTAAAGAATCCTATGAGCAATATGTATGTGCTTGACTCAATGATTGGAGTAGAAATTAAAACTATTTATTAAAAGTCGTTTTCAATGGAATATGTCATTTATTGTATATTTTTTTTTTGTAAAAGCACCATCTTATCCAACTTCAGTAGCCGATTGATGCGTTATAATCTAAAAAAAAAGTAGCCGATTGATGCGTTATAATGTTATTGTATGTTTTGTTGTTTCTTTTGTCTATGATATAAATGTACATTGGTAAATGTTTCATTTAGAAAATCTTGAAAGTTCTATATATTCAAATATGATGTATTTGTATTGATCTATACTTTCCTTATGGTATTTGAACTTGTATAATTAATACGAATGAATTACAATATTCTCTTACATGGTATTAGAACATTCTTCACATCGATCCTAAAGAAATTTACAAATGCAATAAACTCTTTAGAGTTTAATTGACTGCCACATCCTCTATCTATTCTTCATACACTATTACTATTTTCTTTTTCATACAATGCATTGAACTTTATAAAGTTCAACGAGACATATTTAAATGATGAAATCATTTATTAAAAAACATTCATTTTCCCATTGAAGAGTTCAATGATCGTTAAACTCTATATCCATTAATAAACGCCAACATGACATACTACTGGTATAGTTTAATCTATTGAATGCTAATTATGTGTGTCATCTCATTCGATTCCCCCACTAAACATGCACTGTAGAAGCTCTAAGCCTTCATTGTCAGCCCTCTTTTCCTCCCCTTCTCTTATCTTGTTGACCAAGGCAAGACTCTCAACCTTTTTCTTTATCTCCAAGTCGACTACCTCTTGTGTCGATTTCTCTTCTCCAAGTTACTTTCCTCCTCATATTTTTCTTCCTTTTCCTTACGTACACGTCTTTCTTCTTCCTTTATTCTCAAAAACTATGACTACCTGATGTGTGCAAAAGATATCACCTCTCCAACTTCCCAACTCGAATGAGCAAAGGGAGATATATAGTTTTCGAAAATTCATCCTCACGTCGTGATAATTAGAGTCTCATGTCGTGATCTCAGTGTAATCCGTGTATGGCAAGCAAAACTAGCTTCCGCTGTCTATCTTCTAGAATATTGCTCCTCACATCGTGATAATAGATGTCTCACGATGTGACTTTGTTTTTTACTAGAATCTTCTTCTTTTAAGCTCCACTAAACTCTCATTTTAGCTCCGGTCCTTCCAAGCTCCAATATTTGTCACTTCTAATCCTTATTCTTCAAGAGTGTCCTATTTGGCTGCAAAATATAAATTAATTCAATAAGTATCACATATCTTTCCAATTAACCAAAATATTGCTTAAAATGTATTAAAATATTGCCTAAATACTTGTATAAATATGGCAATATCAAAATACCCCACACTTATCTTTTGCTTACCCTTAAGCAAAACTAATCTTTTAAGTTAAACTTTCATCACCAACATCACATAAGACAATCCATTTAGAACCCAACCATTATACTAAGACCCCAATGCGCATATTTTTGTCTAAATTCCTAAATACTTCCCAATCCTAAATACTCACAATCCTTATAAACATTCACCCCTTAGTTTATACAACACTCATTTTGCAACCCTCCAAATTCATCCTCAAAAATCTTTTTTAACCTCAAGGTATTTTTGGTTAAGCTACCCAAGCATATATAATATCTATAAAGAATTACAACTTTGATACCACAATGGAGCTCTTCGAATTCATCTCTTCTTTGATATTTGCTTTTCAATTTCTTTGAATTCAACACCTTTTTGTTTAATTTTTGATTCTTCAGAATTTTTGATCTTTTGATCTTCATACTTTAACAGCTCCAAAATTCTTTCGATTTTTTTGTAATCTCTCTCTCTCTCTCTCTCTCTCTCTCTATATATATATATATATATATATATATATATATATATATATATATATATATATATATATATATCACTTTTTTCCCTCAAATCCTACATGCTTAAGCAAGGGAGCTTAACTTCAACCTTTATTGGTTAGATACATTAGTCTAAGTGCAATGACTACATAAGTTCTCCTGGATACATTTTAGGTACACGTTGCAAAACTTATTACATCGTACAAACTACCAGATTATCTTTCATATCTCATGACTTTTCACTAGAAATGGAAAGTCACAAATATACTATAACATATTTTGGTTCAGTTAAACATTTGATCTCGTATTGGATCATCCCACACAATACTAACAACTTAAGTTTTTAATTATTACAAGATTTAATTCTTAGATTATTATTTCAAATCTATAAAATTTCTTAATTTTTCTAGTAATTTTTAATTTAAATTCCTTTTTCGACCCCATACCACACACTTATTTCATACAATGCATTCATTGTATGCATAAAACTATAAAAACAATAAAATGGGAGAAAAATGAACAGACTCTCTTGGGGTAGTAGTGGCGAGATCGATTTCTGATAGTGTGTGAAAAACTTGAACATCTTGAATAGATAATTGGAACTTGGACTTCATTTGTACTCATGAATGTGCCGGAAAGACGTGAATCATAAACTTGCATCTTCAAAAAGTGTGGTGCATAAATCTTCAAAGTAACGCATCTCAATGTGGGAAAGCATACGCCACACTATATGTTGAAAAAAGAGAAAATAAAATGCCATTTGTGATTTCTCACGATGTAAGAAGTAATTTCTCATGATGTGATATTGGTTCAAGTCGTTCTTGAAATCCCGATGGTGCTGGCCTCACGACGTTAGAATTATATACTCACGTCGTGAGAACCGGGGGCTTACAGATTAGATTTCCTTTACAAGTCTTTTATGAATGTAATCTTCACTTGTCTTCTTAATTCATTAAGACCCAGTTTTAATGAACTCTTTGATGGAACTATTTCTTCTCTCTACTCTACCTTCTCTCATACGGATGTCACCCCACACTAATAAAAAATTATGGGCTTCGATTCTTTTCTCTAATGCTCACGGCTTTTCTCGCTCTTTTTTTTCTTTTCTCTATCGTTACTCTAATAATTCTGCGAACAAAACAAACCATTGGTGGAAAATAGAAAACAAATACCACACATTCGGTTACATGTTTTAAGGCATACCATACCAAACAAAAATAAAAACACACAAAATTAAATGCACCAAAATAACTAAGAAAAGAAAATGACTAAAAATAAAAAGGATAAATATCAATAATCATCTCCATCATCTCTTGTCCCACTCGGCCCGACTCCATCTCCTTGTTGCGACCAAAGCTCCTCCCATGTCGGTATGTATGGATAATGAGGTGGCATGGTGGGTGGTCTCTCGATGTGAAAGTGCGAAAATAAAACATCCGTGGATTGATTGTGATAATTCACACCGCTGCGAAGATTATCCCAATATTGTTGGATTAGGTGTCTAAGCTCATAACTATAATTGGTATGTACTTGAATTGATAGTAGCAATGTCCTTTTGGGTTGCCTTCAAACCTGGTAATCGAATAGGATTATTGTTGAAGAGAGAAGAATGATTTATTAATTTATCACTTGGTTAATAAATTAATTTATTAATGCATTATGGATATAATATATTAATGAGAAATCATATTGTTTAATTAATATTTAATCAAAAATTAATTTTAGGATTAAAGGAATTAATTGAAACTGCAGGGACTAAAGGTGACAATGTTCAAAAGTTGAGCATTGAGCATTCTAGAACCTCCCTTAGAGGGATGGAACGAAATCTATAGTGTCCTAGGGTTTCCTTGGGCTCTAAGGGTGCCTTGGAAGCCTTAGGGAGGAAGTTAAGGGATTAGGGTTATCTAAGATACACCTGCTTTATCCTAAACCTTCCTTATCACCTATATAAACCCTTATAGGGTTGGATTTCGTCTAAGGGCACTCCAAGAGAGGCTAGGGCCGAATTTTCCACTTCCCTTCTCTCTCCATAGTAATCCTTGGTTGCTAGGTTTGTTTGTGAGCCATTAGAGGCGCGACAGTTGTGGCGCTTGCTACCAAAGTTCAAGATCTTCAAGGATTTGATTGTTATTACAATATAACAATAAAGGTATGTATCCTAACCCTAATTATATGTTAATTTCGAAAATTACATGTACCTCCTAGGGTTTCTAGTTTTTGTGTTTAATGCTTGTATGTCTAATAGTGAAAACATAGATCCTCAAATTAGGGTTGCATGCACACATAGGATTGTTGGTTTTGTATAAAACCCAT